GCCTGGCCCTTAAAGGAAGGGCGCGCTCTTGCCAGCAAGAGATGGAGGGGGGGAAGGGAGCCGCGGCCTCCCCCACCCAAGCCCCCAGTTCCCAGGGGTCGGGCAGGGGAGCCCCGGCTGCAGGCGGCAACCCCTGCTGACAGGCCCGGGCTGGCCGCCTCCCGTTCTGTCTCCCGCAGCCAATCTTTCCCGCCCCGCGGACCGCAGCGGCTCCGGCACGCCGGAATGCCCCGGGGCCACCCTTCGTGCCGGCGGGGGGGGGAGGGAGGGAGGGAGGCGGGCGGGCGAGGAAGGAACGGGTGGCATGGAGGCACACAGGGTGCCCTCAGCGGGTGTGCCCTCAGCGGGCTGAGCCCGGCCCCGGGAGGGAAAGAGAGGGTGCTGCGGCCCTCAGGGCCCCCTGGGCGGTCCCCTTTCCCGCCGGTGGCCGGAGAGTGGTCGGCGGTGCCCGTTGCCAGCGCGGCGGGCGAGCGCATTTCCCGGAGACGGCGCGCAAGGGAGAGCCGCACCGATGCATTTCTCTGCCAGGGGCTTCCGCGTGGAAGGACCGCGGGGCCAGCGAGGACCGTCCCTCCCCGACCTCCGACGCCCATCCGCGTCACGATCCGCCTCACGACTCCTGCGGGGGGGGAGTCGCCTTCTGCCCGCATTTCCGCGCACCCTCCCCTCCCCCCGCACTCAGAAGCCCCTTGCTCCAGACCGACTGTGCGCTTCCAGCCTGGCAAAGGCGGATGGTAACCTTGGGTGCCTGGGGGGCAGCCCCCAAAAGCAGCCAGGCTGTCGGGAGACTGGAGCGCAGCCGCTCAGGAGGCAGCAGATGGGTGAGGCAAAGGAACTCACTGCCACAAGAAATCCCTTGAGTCCAAAACAGGCTGAGTCAAATTCAAGGAGAAGCAAGCTGTGAGCAGCTAAAGACTGGCTTCTGGCGCTGCAGAAGAAGAGGGGGAGGCGCTCTGGCCCACCTGCTCTATTTGTGCACTTCTCCCGGGGAAGCACGGTGGCCCCCACCCTCTGCAGGGGCCAGGCCTTTGTTTCTGGCCCTCTTGCAGGGCTCCTGCCTCAGATGATAGGGTGCCCTTTCCCTCCCCCCCTTGCCACGGCCAGGCCCACCTTCCCCTTTTCTGGCCACAGGGACTCCCTCACGCGCCCCCCCATCCCAGATCAGAGAGGGTCCCAGGAGCTGCTTCCCCCTTCCCTTCTAAACTCCCATGGAGCCCAGCCTGGTGGGTCCTACTTTTGGTTCTGGGGGGGGGAATCTTGCCCACCCCAAACTGAGCCATGAGCTCAGTTAAAGTTGAGGGCACCCCCCGCAAAAAAACCCACCACTTTCTACAGGACAGCCAGCCTGACATAACCCCCACCCCACAGCACATCCATGTACATGAGCTCATTCGCACTTTCAAAAAGCATCCATTGCTCACACAACTACAGTAGTGTGGTTGTGGGGTCGGGCAGCTCCAGACTAGCCACCGTAGAAGGCCTCTAGCACCCGGCAATTCCAGGAGGTGCCCCAAATCTGCTCCTCACTGGTGGCCTTGCTTCTGGGTGGTGGCTTCCTTGCCCCCCCCTTCTGTGGGATGTCTCAGGAATGAGGGTGGGTGGGTCTTGCAGGAAGCTTCCCTGAGCCGAAGCCACCCTTGGCCCCGATGGCTCCCGCCTCCCTCTCCACCTCATGCCAGTGGCCTCAGACTGGATTCCTGAGCTTCCCCCAGGAGCCAGGCTGGGTGGGGCCCTCTGGATGGGAAGCGACTCTCCCGCCCCCTCCCTGACTCTCCCCTCCCTGCACCAAGGCGGCTGCCAAACCAAACTGGCCCCAGAGCACGACATTCCTGGGAACAAGCCTTCCTCAAATCCAGAGGAACCGGAATAGGCAGAGGCTCTCGTGGCCTCCTGGCTCCCCATGCCAGCCAGCCAGCCTGCCTGCCAGCCAGCCAGTCACCCCCCACCCACCCTCAGGTCAAAGTAGACGATCAGGGAGGGAAGAGGTGGGCGGGGGGCGGCTTTGGGCCTGCAGAAATGGCCCCCTGGCCCTTTCTTTCTTTCTGCTGATGCTGGCAGGGGTCCTGCGCCTCTCTGGAGCTGGGCTGGGCTGCAGCTGTCCCAATTACCCAAGCAAAGTCTAATGCATGAGTCTCCTCCCATGGTGACCTCAGGGGTCCCCAGTTCCCTCCTCCCCCAGCAGTGCAGGGTGGAAAGAGTCCCTAAGAGAGGCCGTTTAGAAAATTCCAGACAGACTTTTGAACAAGCCTGTCTGCAGGGCTTGGCTCAGTCTGACAGGGAGGGGCCAGGCTCTCAGAGAGGCAGCAGTCAGGCCCGGCAGCTCAGTGCCAGGAAGTTACAGCAACCGCTGCCGGGCCCCGAGTTCAACTGGTCTGCCGAGAGCCTCACGCCCTGCTCTCCTTTCTCCCTCTCCCCGGCACCCCACCACAGCCACTTCCATCCGCTCCTGACTCATATCAATCCCAGCCAGGCAGGGGCTGGATGTGGTCAGGAAGCTGCCAGCCCACCAGACTTTTCTCTCCAGAATTTGCTCCCTCGCTTGCTCACTGGAGTCTGAAGCCACCCTTCTCTCCCCCCCTCCCTGCTTCGCTCCCTCCCTCTGTGGCTGCCTGGGGCGAGCAGCAATCTCCACCAGGCGACCAGGAGGCAGACCCCTTCTTCTACACGCTCCCCACCCCTGTTTAGCCATTGCTGAGGGGGCTTCTTCCTATCCCACATGAGGACAGGGGGCCCTGCTGCAATCCTGCATGACGCCAGGCAGAAACTGAGGCGGACGGATCTGCTTCCTCGGTGAGAGTGGGTCATGCAGCCCGGTCCCAGTCTGGGGGTAAACCCAATCCCCACGAAAGGGAGGCTCGGCCAGGGCAGGCCAGCTCTGCTTCCGGCCTGGCCCTGGCCCTCTGGGTGTCTCAGCCTGGCCTCTGGAAGGCAGGTCCTGTGCCTTTGGGACAGGGCAAAGGTCACGTCGGCCCTGCAGCTCAAGCTCCGGCGGCTGCAGTCCAGCAGCCTCTTAGCCTGTCAGAGGCCCTGGGATGAGAAGGAGACGTTGCTGCTGCACGCCATGCGCCCTCCGGGGGATTCCTCTGGCCCCAGGCCGCTCCCCGGGACCTCCGCTTCGACTTTCTCCCCCACGCCCTCTTCCCTCCACCCAGCCTCCCTGGATTCTGCCCCACAAGGTCAGCCTGCGAGGCCCCTGCCAACACCCACGGCCCTCCGCCCAGTCCTCGGTTCCCCCATTGCAGAACGAGAAGGACAAGCAGAGGAGGGCGACACGTAAACCGTCTGGCTGTGGGGAGCAGCCGAGGGAGCAGAGCCTGCTGTGCCTGGAGAAGAGGAAGGTGGACAGAAGAAGAAGAAGGGCCCCCGCCTTGCGACGGGGCTACAAGAGCCACTGGCCCCATCTCGGAGGGCTGTCGCCTGGCAGAGGAAGCCAGCTGGCTTTGCAAGGCTCCAAAAGGCAGGATGCCCAGGGAGTGGCTTCCCATAACCAGGAAGGGGAGGCTGGCCAAGCGTGAGGAGAACCTTCTCCAGGGTCAGACCTGCCTGGCAGGGCCATGGGCTCCCAAGGAACGGGCTGGGCTCTTTCACCTGCAGGTGCTTGGAAACAGACGCTGGGTAGCCATTGGCCAGGGAGGATTGAGCGGCTGGTCTCCTGCCCCGCCAGGGGGTCAGACGAGGTGACCTCGAGCAGCATCTCTCCTAGCTGTGCGATTCCATGATATCCTGTGTTGTGGGCAACGAGTCTCTTGAGAGGAACAAGGTCCACCTTGGACATGGGGGGGCAAAGAGCCTTCCTCCCCCCACCTCACCATGATCAGAACAGCTGCTGCAGACACACTGACTGCTCCTTTCTGAGCCTAGCGGGGTTATGAAATGCTTCCCAGGCAGAAAGGGAATCGGGGGTGTGGGTGTGGGGGGGGGGGAAGATGAGCCGCCTCTACCGGACTGGAAAAAGCTTCACCATCTTGAAAACAGGCCGGATGTTGCAAAGCCTGTAAGTCACGAGGGACGGGGAGGGGGGGCCACCGCAGGAGCGGCTCCAAGTGACTCCCAGGGAGGCCTGGCACTGCACAACCATTCTGGATGAGAGCTGGCCCGAAGGGGGGGGCTCGCTGGCTTGCTCGCTCCCCTCAGGGGCTCCAAGGCCCCTCCAGAGAGAGAGGCTGCAGCAGCTCCTCTCCTTTGCCAGCTCCAAGAGCCAGGTCCACTCCCTGGGAAGCCGACGACGACGCTCCCTCACACCCCACGGCCTCTGCCTGCGTCGACCTGTGTCAACGCTGTCCTCGTCGTCGTCGTCTTTGGTCGCCTGAGGCTCCCGGGTCCTGCCCTTCCCCTCCTCCTCCTCCTCCTGCTGCTCATCGGAGCGCAGCCGCCACCTCAGCACAGCCAGGGGAGCAGGGCCGGTCACGGCTGGGCTGCAACCGCCTGCCTGCCTGCCTGCCTGGTTGGAGGATGCAAGACGTGCTGAGAAGCAGCCCCGTGGTATCCCGAGCATTCCACCTGGGCAGCTGCCAAGGGGAGGCTGCCAGGCCCCACACTGTCTGCTGAGCCACAGCTGCGTCGCGACTCTGGCCAGAAATGGGGGGGCAGGGGGGAGAGAGAGAGAGAGAGAGAAAGAAAGAAAGAGAGAGAAAGGAAAGAAAAGAAAGCAGGCACAGCCCACAGCCATGGGGAGATGGAGGAGTGGGGGGAGAAGGCAAACTCCCTGTGCTCCGCCCGGGCTACCTTCCAGCACCAGCAAAAGGATAAAGCAGGATGAGGGCAAGAAAGGGATGGTGGCGGTGGCCCTCCAAGGAAGCAAGAGAGACGTCAGTGGACGATCATGTAAAGCGAGAGGGTGCACGCGCACGCAGCCCTCGCCCAAGGCAGCTGCTCGTCCCGAGAGGCTTCCGTGGCTCTGGACCCTTGTGACAATTAGGCTCACGCCAGGCAGCAGACCACAGAGGAAGGCTCTGCAAACACCTTCGGCCAAAGACCCCTAGGGCGCCCCCCGCCCCCCGGCTGGTTGCCAAAGGAGCTGCTCAAGTGGGTCCCCTTCCTTCCCCCCCCCCAGGGCGGCCCCCACAATCGTGCCTGAGTTAGTCAGACCTAAGAAGGAAACCATGGCCCTGCGTTTCTCAGGGCAGAAGGGAGGCGGCCGGTCCCCCTGGTGCGTCGCGCCACAGCGTTGCCCCGGACTGGGTGTGCCAAGGACAGACGGCTGGGAGCCGTGGTCAGAGCCCTGCCGCGGGCCATCCTGGAAGCCTGGTCACGGCTGGAAGAAATCATCCTAGGCAAGGATGAACGCCAAGCCCACGATGTGAAAAATACATCCATTTTGGGAAAGACGTTCTAACAACGCTCAAGCAGCAGAAACGTTCTTCCCCAGAAGACCCCATTCATACATCTTGCGACTTCTCTGTGTCATTCTGCCCTCGTGGCTTAGAGTTGTTTGTAAGACCACCATTCCTTGCTCCCCAAGGCAGCCAAGCAGCACCTCCTTGCCAGGCTAAGCACTGGAGCACCCGCTGGTGAGACATGGTGCCTCACCCCCCCACCCCCCAGCACAACTCTGGTGCAACCTCCAGGTGCCTCCCTGCGCTCTATTGCTGTGGTCAGACGTCTGGCCCCATGGTGGTCAAACCTGTGGGGAAGAACACCCCCCACACCAATGGGCCATCCGAGAAGCGTAGCTTGGGCCCCCTGGGGGAGGAGGGAGGGAGGGAGCGAGGGAGCCAGGTGGCCGGAGAGGTATGGAAGAGGGTGACCTCAGAGGGAATGGCTGCCAAGGCCAGGATAGGCTCCTGAGTTTCAAAAAACGAAACAAGGCTCTCACATCAGGAGAAGGGGGGAAAGGCTGCCAAGAGAGAGAGAAAACCCTTTCCCCCCTTCTTGCAGCCGTAGAACCCGGGTCCCCAGAAGACACGGAACAGAAATGTGCTCGGAACAGAAAAGGCCAGACAACCCCTTGTTTTCTGCCAGAGGATCTATGTTGGGATGGCCACTGCATGTGGAGAGGGGCCCTGCTAGCTGGCATGCAAATAAGAAGCTGCCCCGACTGGGTTTCCCACAGGCCACCCCCACGGTATCACCCCCCACACACACACACCTGCTGGCTCCCATGTTCACCCCACAAAGTCTCTTGCACCCTGAAGGCTAAAGAGGAACAGCAGAAGGTCGCAGCTGGTGGGGGGCGGCTGAAAGGGAGGGAGGGCCCCTGGGAGAGAGGGAGGCTGTGCTAGATTTGCGGGGGGGGGGAGAGACAAGGGCTGCATTGGTGAACAGGCCCAGCCATTATTGGGAAGGGACCACTGACACCCCCCCACGCAGCCCCAGTTTCAAGGCTTGCAACAAATTCAAAGAAGGCTTAAGGGAAAGAATGACCCCCCCAACACACACATGTGTGCACAATCCTACACAGTCCCAAACTCCACATGAGCAAGATTCCATCCCCTGCTCTCTCCTCCCCCCCCCAAAAAAATGCCATTTGGTGAAGAGGGCAGGAGAGGGAGGGTCAGGAGGCGGAGGGAGCTGCCCCCGCCCCCCCCCTGCTCCCCTAGCCAGGCGTGCTCCAGGAATCTCCTGGGGGGGGGTAGGTGTCGTGTGCACAATCCTACACAGTCCCAAACTCCACATGAGCAAGATTCCATCCCCTGCTCTCTCCTCCCCCCCCCAAAAAAATGCCATTTGGTGAAGAGGGCAGGAGAGGGAGGGTCAGGAGGCGGAGGGAGCTGCCCCCGCCCCCCCCCTGCTCCCCTAGCCAGGCGTGCTCCAGGAATCTCCTGGGGGGGGGTAGGTGTCGTGTC